AAGATTAAGCGTATCAAATTTCACATGCATTTTCACAATGGCTTAATTTATTTGTATATGGTGACATCTCCAAAAATACATGAATACATAAACCTGATGAAACAGATATAATCATTTCAGGCTTTATGTTTAACGTGCTTCCAAATTAATTAAAGAACATGATGATAGCAGAATAGCTACCTGGCATAGGACTATCAGTAAGAAGCAATCTGATGCCCAGACTTGGATTAAGAGACATCACAAGCACTGGTTCTGTTGTTTGTAATAGTGTTATCGACACTATCGCTTTTGATAAGGATCCTTCAACTGTAAAGACAGACTTCTTAGAGGATCATACTTCTGTTAAATCAGACACTGACATTGACTAATTTGTTCCCTGATGACTTGGCCTTAGTGCAAACAGATTTTACTGAGACTTCTAACCTTAAGTTGTTGCCAATGACATTTAAACTTACTCTCAAGTAATTGGTAGTATCTCTTATCCTAGATTGATTATGTAAGGTAATTTTTATTTGATCACATCTTATGAGGTATGTCACATTTATTCCCAGAATAGAGAAGAAATCAGACTTCCAAAGGGTTTGGAGGATATTCATACCGAGTCCCAATCCCAAATTGTTCAAAAACTTAAGCAGCAGATCCATGAAGGAAGGCCTACTTCAGAAAATGATGAAGATGATGATGCTCATAAACCATGTAGGAAACTGAGAAAGAGGATAGCCAAGTGATTCAAGGCCAGAAAGCATTGCCATCTCCTAAAATGAATCCGGTCACACAAAAGATAAGCTACAATGTAAACTTGAAACTATGATTTGCACTGAAGGAAAATAATCGTTCAATACCACTTCCTGTCGATTATCTGGAAAAGCTTGCAAATCATCATCCGATAATGAGACTTGAAGTCCATCATCAGTGGATTTTGAGGCTGCGAAATCTTTTGCTATAAGAAGAGGTTGTTGGGTATCATTGAATTCGGATGACAAAATATTTGATCCAGAGGAAGCAGTTGCAAGGTTTGTGTCCTCAACAATTGCCTCCATACCTAGAATAGTATATGGTAATAACATGACATGTTTATGGCACATTGTGTCAAAACCTTCTGTTTACAGCCGCCATTCAATGAAAATGTAGTCAATGAAAAGAGTACATGAAAAGGATTTTGGAAATTAGCAACGTGTAGATAGTAGAGATAGCACACCAAAAATATCATAATGGAGTTCATACTGAGGAACATAAATGCAACCTGAACATAGGCTAACTTAATAATGTGAACTCAACTTCAACAGAACAGAAAACATACCTAGTTAAGTATTTTATTGATCGAACATTAGAACCACCTCGTTTCTGAATTATAGAATTGTTCTTCATGACATGAACCTCCCAAGTGATCAGACAATTCATGAACAACTCAATGTTTTAATGTATAGGTCCTAGATGTTGAGGAATCCATTTCAACAGAAACAGAAAGACCTGTTTCTTCTTCTATGACAATCATGCAAGTAGTCTGAGGCCCATTCTCCAATGACAAGCACAAGGTTTAACTACAGTTTTACGACCATAATCTAGACCTAGCACACAATAAATCTCTAACATAAATAATAACTAGAGTTTGCAGATCAAATGTATCGGATACCCTTCCTGATTTGGACACCATGTAACACTGAAGGCTCTAGTTAAGTTGGACATCGGTATGCTTGTAACAATGTTCTCAGATAACCCCTTAGCTATCTGCAAGTTCTGTCCTGTTAATCTAATTGTACATGCTAAATGTAAACTTAGATACATAACCTTCACATTGCTCTTAAATCTTAATGTTGTACTCCATTACAAGAATAATAAGAGGCTTAATGAAGAAATTTTTAGGAGAAACTAAAAAAGTTTCATTATAATGGCACGAATCATTATTATCCATCACAATTTATATATGAGAAGCTAAATGATTCGACTGCACATCATACTCGATGCAAATATTTGCTCTGGAAAAGTATGATAATTACAGTTTAAAATCATGATCCAATTCATATCCTCTTAAAGACAAAAATATGATCAATCATAAGATACGATCAAAACCAGAAATTTTCATGTGTTTCCTACCTCAACTTGCTATATCCGTAAGGAATTAGTCAAAATAATTCGCAACTACTACTTACCAGTGGCTCCACTAGAATGAGACAAGTCGTAAAGAGCGTCCATGCTGGAAAGCTTTGTTGATGCCTGATATAGCATTTAGAAGCTAATAAGAACCCAAACTTATATAGAGAACAATCAAATAACTTACATCTCAGACATTGAAAGGCAACTTGCCTGTTCCTTTGACTCTGTAATATTGGATCGCACGTCAATATCACCAATTTGCACACATTCTCCATCTCCATAGGTCTTTAAAAGGATTGATTGTTCAGCCTGAAATGGTTGTTGAACTGCATTTATTTCAGAGTGAGTAGCCCCTGTTTGGTTGCAGCCAGAGCAGAGGGATGAGGCACAGAATGATTCCTCGACCCCAAGTTCTTTGTCATCATGTTGTGAATTAGCTTTTGGCCTAAAGCTATCAACAGGTAAGTTGGATCTGCTATGTGTATCCCAATCAGTTCAAGAGTTTATGATATTATAAGAATTACTTATGGTATGATTTAGGCCAAAAGCTAATTCACAATTTAGGGTTTAGGGTTTAGGGTTTAGGGTTTAGGGTTTTTTAGGGTTTAGGGTTTAGGGTTTAGGG